TATCATGGAAATTTGCAATTAAGTGTTCACCTACTTTTAGACGTCTGAAGAATCAGGAATTCTGCAAAAGTATTAAGAAACGATAACACCACAATCATTTTCAAGATATGACCTAGTACTCTCACGAGGTATTATCACAGCTTATGATAAAGTCGCGTTGTTTAAGTTTTCTTAAAATCTATACCATATATTAATACACGGAAAGAAAACCCCTCTATAAGCATATCGTGCGGGAATATAATAGAATAGAATGGAATATTTTTTATTCAATACAGACTATTACATAATATTTATTGAAAGTCATTTTCTTTATTTATCACTGGTTCGGAAAATACCTATATCCTTAAAGGAACCAGCTAAATACCCAGCGGGACTTTTTTTAAACATATGTTATGTTACAATAATTTTGTTTGTACAATTTTTTAATAAATTTTAATAGAACCAACATGGTGGCGATTACCTCATTCCCAGGGGTTGTGTTCATTTATGTATTCTTTGATATTATAGTAACCCTTTTTGTACAATTTTTCTTTAATAAAATATTTAAACTTGTTTATTGACAAATTATGTACATTTTTTGGAATTTTGTTGTAAAAGCGTATGCATTGCCCCATATTTGAACTACTAATTATATGGAAACTATTAACTGGTATTAAAATTTATGTTTGTTCCCAGTGCTCGAAGAAGTTAATATGTTTATTTTTTTTAAAGGGAGCAGAAAGCTAAAATTTATAAATAATATTATCTGTAATTAAATCGTTGTTCTCATTCATACTGCCAATCAATTGTCAACAAATAATAGTCTACGGTCAAACAGTCGCATAGTTGTGTGTGTTTTACTTCATTTTTTCCCAATGTTCAAACTGTTTTACAGCACACAGTTCGTGAAAGACCAACAGGTCGTTCACACCCTCCTTTAGCTTTTAATGCTTAATTGATGTTACACAAAAATATGAAAAACATCACTGGCAACACGCGTAGTCAACTAATCTAGGCTTAACTCCCTAGGCGTAGTCCCAAAATCATGGAAGACGGCTTTCGTCCACCCGATCCCTAAAAAAGGCGACCGCTCAGACCCGTCCAACTACCGGCCTATCGCCATCACCTCCTTGTTCTCCAAAACAATGGAGTCCATTGTAAACTGCCAGCTCATGAGGTACCTTGAGGATCACCAGCTGATTAGTGACCGCCAATACGGTTTTCGCCGTGGTAGGTCAGCTGGTGATCTTCTGGTCTACCTAACTCACAGATGGGCGGAGGCAGTAGAGTCCAAGGGGGAGGCATTGGCCGTTAGTTTGGACATTGCGAAGGCCTTCGATCGGGTTTGGCACAAAGCGCTTCTTTCGAAGCTCCCTTCCTATGGGCTTCCCGAGAAATTGTGCGATTGGATCACCAGTTTTCTTGCAGATCGGAGCATCAAGGTCGTTGTAGACGGTGCAAGCTCCGATTGCAAGCCTATTAATGCTGGTGTTCCACAGGGCTGCGTGCTATCGCCAACGCTGTTTCTTCTGCATATCAATGATATGTTGCAGACCCGTAACATTCATTGCTATGCAGATGACAGCACTGGTGATGCTCTTTACACCGGCCGAGCCAATATTTCTCGGGAAAACGTCTCCGAGTGCCGGGACAAACTTGTGTCTGAAGTCGAGTCTCTGCTGGACAGAGTCTCGGATTGGGGGCGACTAAATCTAGTCCAGTTTAACCCCCAGAAGACACAAGTTTGCGCGTTAACCGCTAAAAAGTACCCCTTTGTCGTATCCCCTCAGTTTCAAGGCACTCCCCTTGTTGCCTCAGCCAGTATCGGAATCCTCGGCGTCGACATATCGAGTGACGTGCAGTTTCGTGGTCACTTGGAAGGGAAGGCCAAATTGGCCTCTAAAAAAGCTTGGCGTGCTCAGCAGAGCGGGACAGTATTTCATGCCGGCACACCGCCTGCAACTTTACAAGGCGCAGGTTCGGCCGCACATGGAATACTGTTCCCATCTCTGGGCTGGGGCTCCCCAGTACCAGCTCCTTCCACTTGACCACATCCAGCGCAGAGCGGCTCGAATCGTCGACGACCGAGTGCTTTCCGATCGGCTCGATTCTCTGGCACTGCGAAGAGATGTTGCATCCCTTTGCATTTTCTTTCGCATATACCATGGAGAGTGCTCTGAGGAATTGTTCGGATTAATCCCAGCCGCCAAATTTCGTGAAGGCACTACGCGGCAAACGTCCCGATACCATCCACACCATCTGGATGCTTGGCGGTCCACCACTGTACGTTTCAAAAGGAGTTTTCTTCCGCGTACAACCTCTCTGTGGAATAATTTACCACCAGCGATTTTTCCGGACCGATACGACCTGGGGACCTTCAAGAAAAGAGCTTACTCCTTTCTAAAGGGCCGGCAACGCGTCTGCAATTCCCCTGGTGTTGCAGTTGATCATGGGCGGCGGTAGTCACTTAACATCAGGTGAGCCACATGCTCGTTTGCCCCCTCTTCTATAAAAAAAAAAAAAAAAACACGCACTGGTTGTACAATCTAGTTTTCAGAGTTTGAGGTATACCTGACGAGAAGATGTATCGTAGTTTCCTGAACGCTGCCTAGCCGAGTTGAATTCGTCGATTGACCTATCGGTCGAAGTTGGACTTACCTAGTCGGACTATTTGTCCCAGGTAAACGTAGTCGTCAACAACTTGATCCCAACAACTACTGGCATAGGTGTGACATGGACATTAAAAATGATCTTTGTTTTGTCCTTGTTCATCTTAAGACCTATCCGTTGGGAGATACCATTGAGGTCATTGATCATAGTGCTTAGATCCTCCAGCGATTCTGCCATAAGGCCACTATAAACACACACACACACACACACACACACACACACACACACACACACACACACACACACACACACACACACACACACACACACACACACACACACACACACACACACACACACACAATATATATATATATATAGTATAGTGTGTATATATATATATATATATATATATTAAATAAAGTTTACATATATTAAATTATCCTCTGCTTGGGCTTACATTAACTCAAGTCAAAAAATTCGTTTTACGAGTACTGTATAAAAATTAAAAATTTAATCATATCGAAAACACAAAGTACATAGAGTGCAGTATAGTATTTACAACTTTATGCGTGTTATAATATATATTAAAATTAGTTATATGTAGAGATTGTATTTCATCTGTTGTCATCTGTAACAAAACAAAACAAGTGACGAGAAGATGTATCGTAGTTTCCTGAACGCTGCCCAGCCGAGTTGAATTCGTCGATTCACCTATCGGTCGAAGTTGGACTTACCTAGTCGGACTATTTGTCCCAGGTAAACGTAGTCGTCAACAACTTGCTCCCAACAACTACTGGCATAGGTGTGACATGGACATTAAAAATGATCTTTGTTTTGTCCTTGTTTATCTTAAGACCTATCCGTAGGGAGATACCATTGAGGTCATTGATCATAGTGCTTAGATCCTCCAGCGATTCTGCCATAAGGCCACTATAAACACACACACACACACACACACACACACACACACACACACACACACACACACACACACACACACACACACATATATATATATATATATATATATTTATATATATATATATATATATATATATATATATATATATATAATAATGTTTACATATATTAAATTATCCTCTGCTTGGGCTTACATTAACTCAAGTCAAAAAATTCGTAGTACTGTATAAAAATTAAAAATTTAATCATATCGAAAACACAAAGTACATAGAGTGCAGTATAGTATTTACAACTTTATGCGTGTTATAATATATATATTAAAATTAGTTATATGTAGAGATTGTATTTCATCTGTTGTCATCTGTAACAAAACACAATAGTATTTTTCTAGCTTTTATCAAATTGAAGGAAATAATATGGTAGAGCAACGCTGTAGCTGAATTATGGCTGAAAAACAAATGAGTTGGCTCGACCGGGGGAGGACTGTTACTATGTCCACCAGCGTTAAATAGCAGCACAATGCAGCAGTATTACTTATGGAGAGTGTTGAGAATCGGACAACCTTTTTATTAGTAACTAGGCATTCCACCTTGTTTCTCAGGAGTGACAACATATCTTTATTTTGATTCTTAATCAAGAATAGATGTAGATGTCTATGAGCCTAGGTGGGCGTCCTCATACTTCAGTGGGTCAAGTGATACGTGGGCTCGCCAAACCTACTCAAGCTGGCCATGTGGGCTCCTCTTAGTTCACCATAGGTGACCAAACCACAACTTCTAAGATACGCCACGACAAGGCGAGAACCAGTTCGGGTGTGTTCTAAGGCAACCTGGTATAACAAATTTCAGCACGGTCGACCAGCATTGAGAAATGTAGAAAGAAGTGGTCCCTTTCACGACTGTTACGGAAGGGAAAGTGCTAGCAGTGAAAAATTCAATTGAAGATAATAGGTTAATAAATAATGAAGAATTTGGCCCATATTACTGATTGGATCGGGAAGCATTCGCGAGATCTTACGAATAACTTTGCAAGAGAAGTAAAGTTTCGCATACACTGCAAAAAACCTCACTGGTGCTCAGAATCAGACCCGCGTGGAATGGTGGCGTGACATGATTACTAAAACAGGTGTTTGTAAAACAGGAACATCTTGGCTTGTTTATGATATAAGTTAAAGTGACAAATCTTAGATTGATCAAGATAATATAGAAACTGTTCCAAATTAAAACAACGCCTACCAAAGTGCGGCTTTCCTGAAGCGCAGAAATGATTTTCATCGTTAATTTTTAACATTGACTAAATAAATGGTAAATTAGAGATTTTAAAAATAATTAGCTTAGATCCATATTTTTTTTAAATATTAGTAGTAGTTTTTAGAACACAAAGCTCTGCGGGCTACTGCTTCACCCTGACAACGCGCTTGCTCAAAATTAAGGTACAGCGCACTAGCAAAACGTATTATAGAAAATATGTACTTTATAATATAAACTTTAACCATAGACCTTCTTCAGTTTCGCAAAATTTTCAGAGAGGTCAACATATGTATACATTTCATCTAATTTGAGCAGGGCGTTAATAATTTCTCCTGACCAATTTTGACGACGGTCATAACTTCAAAATACAGTCGATCAAAACATTATCTAAAACATGTCATACATATGAAAAACAAAATATTAAATATAAAAGACATGTTTAAAGTAAAGATATCATCATTGTCATCATCATTACAGCCCATCCCAAGTCCACTGCTGAACATAGGCCTCTCCCAAGTAATGCCACAAAGCACGGTCCTGAGCCAGCTGCATCCATCGACTTCCTGCATGTCTTACGACCAAGTAGCTCCATCTAGTGAAATAATAAACACATGTCCTATATTAAATTAAAAAAAAATCCAAGTACGCGTATATGATAAATTCATATTAGGTTCATATACAGATATATATATCTGCCTATATACTTAGCCACGGGATTTATGTATGAAAAGTTTTTTTTGAAATTACTAGGTTTTTTTAGTTGAATCTTAATTTTTCTGGCAAAATTTTGGTGGCAAGTACTCTGTTGATGTAAAGAGACCTTTTGTGTAAGTACTTGGAGCTAGTATTATGAGGAGTTATTTGCTCACAACTCATTAGCGTGGATACATGTTTGTGATAATATATGGGTGTGTAATAATATGTGATATTTGGAATTTACAAGAACTTTTACAACAACAAAAATAACAATATTGTTATTTTTAAGTTGATAAATACAAATACTTACCATCAGATGGAATATTACTTACTTTGTTTCTTCAGTTTTGTGAAAAAAAATGATTAATATTTTAAAAATAACTTTGTTTCCTAGAAGTAAGTTGTTTGTCCTGAAAGTAAAAAGCTAAAATAATCTTACATTTTAATTCTTGCGATCGAAAAAAACTACCAGAGACGTATTGTATTATTATCGAAAAAAAATAATTCGGGTGCTTTCTTTTAAAATATAAAATACAATTCTCAATCTGCATAAAAATGTAAACGACGCCAAATATTTAATTAAAGATTGACGTTTTACCCCTTTCAGCTACACTAAGAGCGCGGTGTAATAATCTCGCTTTTGTTTACTTCAGTACGTGGATATTCAGAAATTCAATTTAAATATGATGGCGTGGAGCACAAACATGAGATCAACAGAATTAAATGACGTGCGCCATTTGTCGGGGCTGTGTGCGCGTTACCAAGCTGCCATGGGAGCCGGCCAATTCCCAAATTAATTGGTTTCCAATAGTATTTTTAGTTAAAATAGCTTTAAAGCTTAAACCTTCGTTAAATAATCTTTTAGCATAAAATTGAGTGTTGCATTTTCAAATTAATTTAACATTTGTTTGATAATTTCAAACTGCTGTAGTATTTTTATTTATAAAGTAAGCTTTGTGGTGACTGTGAAAGAAAACTCATCCCGCCATTTCGGTCGGTGGGGGTCGTAAAGTCTACAAAAATGCCCAAAAATGTTATAGCTTCCAATAGGTGGACAAACATTAACCCATGCAGTCGCATGCGTCCGTCAAAACCCGAGCGGTCGCATGCGACCGCACCCACCCACAGCATTTTAACCCATTAAAACTTATATTTAGAGACTAATTTTCTGTAAAGAAGTTTGGCATTATAAAATCTATACAAAATTCTCTATCCTGTGGTCTAAATAAAGTGAGGTTTTACTTTATTACAAAATACTTTATTGTATTTTGATAACAAAAAACGGGTACATACCAATCGGATGTCGGCAGCGTGAAAATCACTATTATTTCTATATATTACTCGAAATTATTTACGTAAAAGGATAAATTATATGCACACGAAAACTTTCATACCAATTTTATAAAACACTAGAAAAATCCAAAAATCAACACAACAAAACATAATAACATCCACACGAAAATGGCGTACGTAATAAACGTAGATTATAAATAAATAACCATAAGATAACTAACTTTTTATTGCATTAAAGGATAGCGAATTTCATATCGATACTATAATGCCAAACTTCTACATAGAAAAGTAGTCTCTAACCATAAGTATTTATGTGTTTAAGTGCTGTGGGTGGGTGCGGCCGATTTGACTTGGTATTTGACGGAATATCGCCGAGACCGAATTCGGCCGCTTGGTATTTAACGGAATATCACCGCGACCGAATTTGGCCGCTTGGTAGCTAAGAGGTTAAATGTCTTGGGTTTGAGAAAGACGGCAGCGCCAAAGGTGTATACGTCTGAAATTGGTTTGTCAATCTGCTTGCCAAGCGTGGTGAGTAAAGCAAATCCTACTTACAGCGGGAGAGATCCAAGTCCAACAATGGATTTTTATCACTTTTATGAGCTAATTTAAAATACGAAAGAAAGTAATATTTCAATTAAATTGAGGTGGTGTCATATCAGTTTTAAAAATTTTGTCTCAATACAGACATGACAAAAGCGCAATCTGTGTTTCTTCACACATTTTAACTGTGTGACCCCGGAATTGGTGACAACGTTAAAAAGGAAGCGACTCGGGAGGAAGTTGCCACTACAAGGGAGATGTGACGGGAAATACGGTACCCGTTATAATTATCGCACTGTTAGTACAATACTGTTGTAACTCAAAAAGTGACTTTTTTCAGAATCGTCGAAAAATGTATTATTCACTTCCTATTATAAATTACAAAAAAATTAATGCTTTATTAGGTTTATTAATAAAATTAACGCAAATATCATTTAAATTTTTTTTTGTATTTGCCGGTAGTAAATATAATTACCAATTTTTGAGTTAAGACTGTATTGTCCGGAACAAAGTTTTCAGAAAGATGAATTATTTTTAGTTGTACAGTTATTGTCGAAACATTTTGAGTTACTACAATTTTAAGTTGACTTTTTTTCTGTGGTTTTGAGTAACATTTTGAGTTACAACAATTTTTAAATTTGGTTTTCCAACTTCAACATAATTATTTTCATACTAAGGTTAGGACATTGATAAATAAAACCAGGTAATCAAGAAAAACAGTCACATATTCAGTCTTTATTTATAAAAAAGATAATTAAAATGTTATTTAAACATTTGTACTTAGTTAAATAAAAAAAACTTCCGAAACAAGTACAAAATTTGTCTTAGTGTAAAAACAGGGGAAATTAAAATACTATAATTATACATACATATTCATACATATAAATAATTAATTACTATTGAAATTGCACAGTAATGGTACGTTATCATTAAACTGGACCTAGGCGAAAGAATTTATACTATAATAAGTATACTTAAACAAGTTTAAGGGAGTATTAGTTATAAATAATTAACAATACAAATCACGATATTAATAATAATACTTTTTTTAGTTAGTTAAAACTAATCAATCACAGCTCGAAAGTATGTTTCATAATAGGACCTGGGAATTATATTTTTGTCGAGCAGTTCTTTTATGTCTCTTTTTTATTTTAATTTAAAGGTATTTTACTCGTATATGCTTGTGTCAATCCAACAGAAAATAAATCCAACGTTTGGTTCCCAGCTCGTCGTGTATTACGCACGGAAACATTATTGTAGTTTTTATCTTCGTAAGAATTCTTATAGAAAAAAGTCATTGGGTGTTCCTTTACAACACGAAGCACCTTAATGTCGTGCCATTTTACTTGGTTTCTATCCGTGTTCACATTAAAATTTTTTTTTTTTTTTTTTGGTAAGGAAGGTGGGGGGGTGTGGTTTTTTTTTTTGGTGTTTTTGTTATTTTTTTTTTATTTTTTTTTTTTTTTTTTTTTATTATTTTTTTATTTTTTTTTTTTTTTTATTATTGTAGTATTTTTTTTTTTTATAAAATTAAAAAAAAGTAGATGTGTTGTAGAGGGATCGGGCCTCGGTTAAAAATTGGGGGGGGGTTGTTACCCCACTGCTCTTGAAGTAATTTAAGGTCATAAAATTTATCATTAGTCATTTCATTGACTTTATAAGGTTGTCCTGTCTTTTTAGCGGTCTGAATTAAAGTGACGTATTGTTGTGGAACATAGATTGGCTCAGATTTAAGGAAGCGCTTTACTTGTTTTTCAATTACGCTGTGCATATTGTCACCCTCATTTTGAGAGTGACCACGAATCAGAAATTTGTGGGTTATACTTTTAACATCCAATTTTTGTACCGCATAAGCGTAAGCTGCAAGGAGATACTTATTCTTTTGCTGGCCACAGCAGTTATCAGAGTAAAATATGAATTCTAGTTCTTTATTAGGATTAGCCTGTGTATATGTTTCTATATAATTTAGTATGCAACTCCCAATTTCTATCGCACCTCGATTTCCCTCAGTTTCGTCCCAGAAGAAACATTCAACGTTTTTAGCATGTAAGTCGCTCACAGTAAAGTTAAAACAATTAATCCTACTTTTGTAATAAAATAAAGAAATTTGACCCTTTGGTATCGGCATATATATCGACATATCGGCACAGCCTGTAAGTCATAGACAGCGACAATTGTGTTGTCTACCCTGGCTTTATCTATTTCTTTCTCTCTTCTTGACAATTCTTTTTCTTTCAAGTGATTTTCGTAAACTATAAAAATCCTTTGTTTTCCTTCTTCGTCAGCATTTTTATAACTTTCGCAGAGATCACACTGATCTTTCTTTGGCGTATGGAAGGAAATATTAAATTCTTTATTAAAAATGCGGTTAAAAGTAGATGCAGAAGCAGATGGTAGGTTTTCTTTTGTACGATTTTCTTTGTAGTCACGGTATAAGTCGGCTAAAGATTTATCACACTGAATGTACTCCCGTGATGTCTGGGCTCTACGATAATGTGATTCGATCCGTGGTATGGCATTAATAAATTGTTTGACACTATCATAGACTTCAGGTTCCACAGTGCATTGGTTACCATGTTTCCCTCGCATATCTTCCAGTACAAAACCAGTCTCTGTTTTTTTTTTGATAATGCTGTAGCAATTGGTCTGTCGTTTATTGCGAGTGTATTTTAAAAAAAATGTTTTGCAGACTCTGATATAATTATGGTTTAGCTGGAAATGAAATGCGGTATTTAATTTACGTAAATTTTGAGTGGATGAGTATCTGTATTTAGGTTTAATGTCCGTAGTATGTCTAATTATAAATTCTCTTTGTTTTTGTAAATCTCCCAAACTCCAATAATTCTTGAAAATGTTCTGTCTTGATGTCTCATTTAGTTTTGAACCACAATTTAACCTGCATTTTTCGCCACATGTCGGTCCCATCTTCCTTGCAGGTACCGGTTTGTTAGTCGCTGATTGGTATGCTTTACCAGTATTGCGAAGTGTTTTAGCTATTTTAGTTTTCCAATTTAATACATTACGTACCCTCTTTTTGCCTTTTCTGTTGTGCTGCACTTCTGAGGGAACATTTGACTCTGTAGCCGTTTGAATTGCTGATCTACTAGTTGATGCAACGGAACTTAAGGCATTCTCAGCTTCCTGATCTGAGCTACTTGATGAAGAGCTACTGGAAGAAGAGATACTTGACGAAGAACTACCTGACGATTTTGTCGCACCACTTCGAAGTAAACTCGGAGCTTTACTGGTTGAACCAGGAATAAAATGAGGGTCACAGTCGGAATCATCAAAATCACTCTCATCAGAGTGCAGGGGTGGAATGTAATATTTCGTTTGGTTGGATTGGGTCATTGATTCAACATTACTAGACGTACTGAGTGTATTGTTCACGTTAATTTCTTGAAGAACTGGATTAATTATTGTAGAAGGTGAAGTTATCGAGGACGCCGTTTGTTCTTTCGCAGCTTTGTTGTCATCATTCTGAGACCATTTATTGTTTGCACTCACCGGTTTCAATGATGAAAGTTCGTCGTTTTCCTTCCCCTGGTGATTTTTTGACCTTGTTTTTGTCGCCATATCCACAAGCAATCGCCCATACTTACATACTTATTCTACAAATAAAAACAATTATTTATTGACTAAGTCACCTTATACGACTATATTATATGTGAACAAGAATGTAATAACTCTAAATAATTAAAAAAAATAATTAATAAGAATATTCTTATTTTTACTTTAACATGTTTGAATGCGTAACTTTAAATGCTGTGATTAACAAATAAGTATTTGTTTAAATGTTAACAAATTATCACAAGAAACAAGGTAATTAAAATTCTTCAACAAAACTGTATTAAGTCTAAAATTATTTACTAAACCAACAAGAATGTCGTAAGTAAAAATATTATTTTAAATGTCATTTTTGTGAATCAATAATAGTGTAACAACTAGAAATACACCAAATTTATCTTTAGGTTTAAATCAACTATAATGTATTAACTGGATTATTGTTTACTTTTAATCCTTTCAGCAATAACGTTTCAATTCGAATTAATACGGTCTAATACACAATGCGGCACACCCTTCTTAGCCGAGTTTCGATCGTAACTAAATATGATACATTATTGGGTGGGGGTTTACAACAGTCGGTCAATCATAAACTATGACAAATGGAGCCATCTCTTATTTGTTTATTGCACTATTCTAACGACGGTATTATTGACGCGTAGGGAACTGAATTTTGCGTTTTATGTTTATGTTAATTAATATGATGTTATCACAAATTGAACATATTTTGAGTTACAACAGTATTGTACTATTAGTTCGTTATGTGGAATACCACAAAAATTTTCCATAATAAAAAAATACTACGTAAATGTGCTAATCTGCATAATAGTATAAAAATATCAATAACATTGAAACGTGGAAATAAAATGTAAAATTTTAGACTTCTGTAAATCGGTCCCTTAAATTATGATTATATGTCATGACAACTTTTTTTATAGAATTAGCATGACAAAAGCGTACACAGTCCACCTGATAGTAACTTGATGCCGTGGCTCAGAGACACCAATATTATTCCTTTATTAAGTCGCGGGTTCTCTATAACGACCATAAGAAACGCAGCATCATGTTTTTTACTTATCTAAGCCAACACTTAACTATCATCCCATCCGATGTTAAGCAGTGATGTAGTTTAAGATGGTGTAGCGCACTGACTTAACAAAAGCCTCTTGCCTTGATGACGGCCACATTGTAATCGGATGGAAAGACTGATGCTTGATGGAGAGGATCGTGATCACCATAACGGAGAGTAAACTTATTATGTATGATCTGTCTCCACCGAGTACTATCGCTGGCCGGACGGCCAACGGAGAGCGTCGTAGAAATTAAGCGAATCGACATCTTTGACTTGGTCAGACCTCCGGGTTGGATTTCTACCTCTCGGCCTTTTTGCCTCTACGTTTCCAACAACTAACAATTTCTTAATACTTTCGTCCCCGCAGCGAGGGATATGACCAAAATAGCTGAGGATGCGCTGAAGACATGTGGTGGAAAAACGCGTCTTGATCTTGAGTTGTGATAGGATTGACACGTTTGTGCGCTTCGCAGTCCACGGTATTCGCAGCATTTGCCTCCAGCACCGAATTTTGAACGCATCAATTCTCTTCCTTTCTCTGACACGTATAATTCATGAATGCTCAAATGCTCAAATAAGCATAAGCACCTTACTACAAATTTTTTTGACTACTTCAATCTATATTATATTTTTTATTCATATTATGTACCTAATGGGTATCAGTTTGTAGAAATTCGCACCCCTCTAGTAACCGCAAGCGCTGCTAAGCATTCGAAATGTGGAAATTCAATATAAGACCCCACAATCCGTTTTATTCATTGAGAATAGTGAAAATTGTTATTTAAACTATAATAGACGCAACAATATAAGGAGCGATTATAAACTGCAAGACTATACCCGGCTCATAAAAATTGGTACTAAATATTCCACTGCTGGCTTCTCTTTCTCATCATTTCACCTTCCTGCGAGCTCGTCGATAATTAACACTACATACAATATATACACTCAAAATGAAATTACATTTTTGAAAGTTTAGTTATCGTTTTATTTCCTTTAGGTTATTTGCTTCACAAAGAAAATATTTTACCTGACATTACAAAGTGTTAAGATAGACCACAACAGAGCTTCGCATTCCTAAGAAGAAAGAATTTTGTCAGTAGTTTTTTTTATTTGATAAGTTTCCCAATGTAAAACCCTACAATAGCCAAACCAAACAATGTGATTATTGTAAGTTTTTGCAAATATTACGTGTATAATAATGTATGAAACATTTAACAAAATGTAATAATATCTGTATAGAATTATAAAAATGGAATGTAAATTTATTGCAATAAATAAAATATTTAACTAGTCACCAATATTTTCAAAATTAATACTATTGTATGATAATGTTGTACTTTATGATAAAGCTCTGCCTCAGAAATCTGCTCGGATTTGAATTTGAAATGGTATGACGTCATACATGTTGCTTTACCACAAACTTGTTCATTACATCCTTACATATAAATGACAAGCCTGTTCTTCCGTTGGTTATTATAAAATAACTTAAATTTTGTGAACAATCTTAAACCTACTGATAATTTTTATCATGATTTTTCACTGTATATGCTATTTTTACTGACTTCAAAAAATGGATGTAAATGGGGCGACAGAGGTTGTCAGGATCGTGCTAAATGGATGTCCGTAATCTCTGTTTACTCCTCTGAGTGACAAGCGTGAGTGTTTATGTTTATGTAGTTTTTGTTCAAAAACATAATAATAATAATAATAATATGGCGTAGGGAATTGACGACCCCATTGCCCGCTGACGTAACAGTTAAGTGACAAAACTGCTACGTCAACGCAGTCAGTCAGCGCCTTGCGAGAGGTGTGAGCGCCGTGCCTCGGCAGAATTCAGGGTGCAAAGGCCCGTTTGTGCTTATGGCCGTCCACGATACGGTGCCGGGCCTGGGCGTCTCCCGTTAATGGACGCCCATATTATGGATGATGGAGAAAAAGATAGTGCGCAAAGGGCCGCTGCATGGAGGTCGCCAGGGCGCGTCTGGAGCTGGCGCTGAACGCGACAGCATGCGGGCCGCCAGCTGAGCGCGGGGTGTTGCAAGACCATCTAGCAACCCCCCGCATCCATCATCCCCACCAGAAGGCTTGGTGTCGGCTGGGTCTTCTCGGACTCAGCAAGCGGCACCCGCCGCTGGTGGAGCACGTCGCATGCGTTGGTCTAAATCAATGAATGAAAACGCACTGCGGGCGTATTTTAGGGCAAAAGGGGAAGAAACTGGATGTTTGGCGTATCGGGCTCGGATGCATCGCTTTTTTGCAGAGCTGGAGCCATCTCTATCCGTCACTGAGCAAAACCTGGCAGACCGAGTTAGGTACATCCTGCGCTCCAACATATTTGGTGACGCCGAACTCGAGCGACTACGACGTGAGGCTATTCCTTCATCGAATGGAAATGCTACGGCTGGGAATGCGGCGCCACTAGATGCGCAACAAACTGCATATGTGGATGCTGCCGTCAACATTCCATTTGTGGCTAATTCAGACGATGATGGAATAGTCTCCCACGAACTAGAGAAAATGAGGAGCATATTGGAAGCGTCGATGCTGGAAACGCGCAGCATGCCTCTCGAAAATCGACCGCGACTTCCCCGCATACCCCTTAGCAAGCGAAATCGGGCTGTCGTGCGGGCTCTTAACCCAATGCTGGTGACCTATTTGGAAGCCAGCCGGGACCTTTGCGAGAAGGATTCAATTCTTTTTGGCGCCGCACTGGCAGTATGCCGTATTATTGGCGCCAAACTTCCCGTGGCTGGACGTGCTACTCAAAAAAGTAGCGCCATCCCAGCCTGGAGAAAAAGAATTGAGGACCGTATCGCAAAGGCAAGGGCCCTTATCGGCAGACTGACAAGCTTCAGGTCGGGTAATAATAGACCGAGGATTATGCGCACCGTTAGGATGGCGTTTGCTGGGACAAATATCAGTTTGTTCCAGCCGGATATCACGCAAAAACTAACGGAGTGCATAGATGACCTGAAGCAAAAAATCGCTGCTTGGGGGAAGCGGATTCGACGATTTAGCGAGAGGTCAAGGCGGTTCAACCAGAATCGTCTCTTCCAGAGTGATCAGAAGAGGCTCTATAAATCATTGGAGCGACCAGAGGTATGTGGAGCGGGCCCAGGACCGGATCAGGCTGACACTGTCGCATTTTGGCGTGGCCTGTGGTCAGAGCCCGTAAACCACAGCGAGGGCCCTTGGATGAAAGTTGTGGCGAGCCAGAGTGCAAGTGTTACGCCTATGGACCCCGTCACCATAACGCCTGAAGACGTGGCTGAGGCAGTCCGTAGGGCCCCGAACTGGAAAAGTCCGGGGCTCGACGGGCTGCATCATTACTGGCTAAAGGGGTTCGTAGTGTGTCACGCTGTGCTCGCCCGACAGTTTCAAGAGGCTCTCGATCAGAAGTCGCTCCCGAGCCTCTTCACTACTGGGATCACTCATTTGGTTCCTAAAGATCAGGATACCACAGACCCGAGCAAATACCGCCCCATCACGTGTCTACCCACCATATATAAGACACTGACATCCATTTTGAGCGCGAGAATCACTCGTCACCTGGAGCTAAATCAGGTGATGTCACGCGCTCAAAATGGATGTCGGGGCGGTGGTCGTGGAACCAAGGAACCACTCCTCATTGACGTGGTCATTGGCAAAGTGGTGAAACGCAACCGTCGGAATTTCTCCGCCGCCTGGATAGACTACAGAAAGGCATTCGACTCGGTGCCCCATACATGGCTAAAGACAGTCCTCCAGCTGTACAAAATTGACTGTACAGTTGGAGACTTCCTCGAGCAGTGTATGGGGCAATGGAGTACGATCCTTTGCTATCTGGGCGAGCGGATGATGGCTGCGGAGAACCACATAAGGATAAGAAGGGGTATCTTCCAGGGCGATTGTCTGAGTCCAATCTGGTTTTGCCTCTCCCTGAACCCTCTCAGTACTTTACTGGAGGGCTCCGGGAGGGGATTTCAGCTTCGGAAAGGAGGTACAAAAGTGACCCACCTTTTCTATATGGATGACCTCAAGTTATTCGCCTCCAGTCGCTCCCATCTTATGGAATTGCTAAACATCACTTGTGAATTTAGCAATTCTATTGGAATGGAGCTGGGAACGGATAAGTGTGCGGTCCTCCATGTTGAAAGGGGAGGGTTGCTAACTCTGAGGGCATAGACTTATCTATGCCCGTCAACTTAAGGACCCTTTCCGAGGCTGAAACATACCGATACCTGGGTATGTCACAGAACATCGGTATCGATGAGGCTGGTATGAAACAGTCAGTTTGCGACGTGTTTTATGCACGCTTGACCAAAGTGCTTAACAGCCTTTTGTCCGGTGTGAATAAGACACACGCATATAACGGCTGGGTCATGCCTGTCCTCATGTATACCTTTGGCATACTCAGGTGGACTCAGACTGAACTTAACGCCCTGGATAGATAAGTCCGCACTACCATGACGTCCTACAGGATGCATCATCCGAGATCGTCGGTAATGAGGCTGTACTTGCCGCGAAAGCATGGTGGGCGTGGCTTCTTGAGCGCGCTCACCATGCATAATCGCGAAGTGTGCAGCCTCCGTAATTACTTCCTGGCGAGATCGGATGATCCATTCTATAAGGACGTCATTTCTAGTGATAAAGGACTTACCCCTCTATCCTTAGCCAACGAGCAATGGCAAGACCCGGCAGTGCAGACAATTTCCGACCGGAAGAACGTATGGAAGGAGAAGGAGCTCCACGGGAGGTTCTACAAGGCTCTACATGAGTCTTTCGTAGACACAGTAGCCTCCCTCCACTGGCTACGCTTTGGTGATCTCTTCGGGGAAACCGAGGGTTTTGTCTGTGCAATACAGGATCAGGTTATTAAGACCAACAACTATCGGAGATACATCCTAAAGGATGGCACCGTGGACATCTGTCGAGCTTGTCGCCATCCCGGTGAGTCACTTAGGCATGTCATCTCCGGTTGTTCGGCGCTTTCTAACTCTGAGTACTTGCACAGGCACAACCTAGTAGCCAGAATTCTTCACCAGGAGCTCGCTCTGAAATACGGTCTCGTGGATCGGAAATTGCCGTATTACAAGTACTTGCCGGAAGCCGTGCTCGAAAATGATCGCGCCAGGCTCTATTGGGACCGGGCCATCATCACAGACAGGACTATTCTTGCGAATAAGCCTGATATTGTGCTGATGGACCGGGCACAGTCAAGGATATTTTTGGTCGACATTACCATTCCGTATGACGAGAACCTCGTGAAAGCCGAAACAGACAAGCAAACAAAATATCTGGACCTGGCTCACGAGGTGACTGACATGTGGGGTGGTCTGCCGACCGAAATTATTCCTGTAGTCGTCTCTGCAAACGGGCTAATCCCAGTCAGCCTCTCGGGTCATCTGAGGCGACTGGGACTACGTGGCGGACCGCTCCGGGCTCAAATGCAGAAGGCGGTGCTCCTCGATACCGCCCGCATCGTCCGCCGGTTTCTTTCCCTTTCCCCCTAACCCTCGGCCGTTTGGTCTCCCCTGCCGAGGGCCTCCATCTGGTTGGGCTTTTATTTATTTATGTATTTTTATATTTATTTTATGTTATTGATATATATGTATATTTATCTTTTCATTTTCATCTATAATTATGTATTTATAGAACCCAACCAGATGAGAAAACTATATAGATACCCCACAATAATAATAATAGCCTTAATGATTTCTTAAATTGAATAAAACTATTATTTACGGATTTTATCGCGTTTAATTTCTTTAATTTACTTTTATTATTATCCCGACGTTTACGAAACGTCGTCTCTCTTACATAGGTCAAACAAAGAGATCTATAAAAACTAATATGGTCTCTCTTACATAGGTCAAACAAAGAGATCTATAAAAACCCGCGTGAAGGAACATATAGCTGATTTGAAGTACCGACGCTCCGGGAAGTCTGCATTCTGCGAAAATGTTCAAGATAGTCCCCACCATTACATTAGATTTGATAAACCACAAATTCTCGCAAAAGAACTCCGATTCCTACCAAGGATGATACGCGAGGCTATTGAAATTAAAAAACATCCAAATTTCAATAGAGAAGATGGTTGGGTGCTACCATCTGCTTGGGATCCTATAATTAACAAAATTAAACCCAAACCCAAGCATACCACTGCAAGACTTCATGATACTATAAGCTCGTTTTCCGTAAATCGGACCAAAAATTAATATTAAAAAAAACTGAAGGTAGCCGGACTAACTATGACATTGGGACGTCAAACATCTCAGTCCCCCCCCCCCGTGACCATGGGTGGTTTTCAGGATTAAAGCACCCGAAACGTCGGGATAATAATAAAAATAAATTAAAGTAATTAAACGCGATAAAATCAGTAAATAATAGTTTTATTCGATAATAATAGCCATTTAATTCCCAATTTTTATACACCAGTCGACATTAGTTAAAACCAATTACAATATTATTATGAGTCATGAATTTTTTTTTAATTAAAAGACATGATAATGCCAGTGTCAATTTTAAATAAAAAGTTTAAATTAAATTTACAAAATTAATTTTTGATTATTTATAAATAATGTTAAAGCGCTTCTACACGGTTGGGACCAACCACCAACCGTCGTGACCTTGGTCGGGTCAACCGATTTTTGTATTCGTTCTACACGGTCGGGTGGTTGAGTAAACTTATCAGTTGTCTCTGGTATTTAAAGAGTAAAGACGTAATGTAGTTAATGATTTCTTAACTTATTCAACGTAATGTAGTTACTTTTAAAAATGGCTCCTTGCTTTTCTATACAACAAAAAAATTGGTTTAGCTTTAACGTTTCTATGCTTGAGTGAAGATGAAAAAAAAGAAAATGGATAAAATTGTGGCTGAAAGAGCGCATTACTTTAAACAAACATGACATGGTACTTTAAGACATGGTAAATCACAGTACAGTGACAAGAATTCGGTCAGGACCTCACGTTCTTTGCTTCCGTTCGTATCGATAGTGCCGTTAAACATCCGCCTGCGGCGACTGCTAAGCGCGCACTGAGGCGCTCTCGTCGGCTGACAGCGTTCCACACGGTCGGCGTCAACCACGGACCCAACGTGTCGTGAGGGATGCGCTCGCGATCAAGCCCGTCGGACTCAACCAAAATATTGGTCAGACAACCGATGTCTACACTGTCCATTTTTACATCAACTCGACCAAGGTCACGACGGTTGGTGGTTGGTCCCGACCGTGTAGAAGGCCTATTAGGGTAAATAATCAATTTATATTTATATTTTTAAGTAATTGTCAACTTATTTTGATTTTTGTCACAAAATATACAGCTAAAAATAATAAAATTGAAGTTAATAATAGTCTACTGAATTTGGCTATATACATAAATAGTATCATAATTAATTATATTATAGTTATTATGGGGTATCCATTTCCGGATGAAGGTCTCCTCCATCCTTTTCCATGAGGTTCTGTCTGCCGCTAGCCTCGTCCACGTTGCTCCTGCCATCACTACAATGTCGTCGCACCAGCGTGCCCGCGGTTGGCCGCGCGAGCGCGTCGCATCACACGGGTACCAATGTAGCACCCGTTCAGTCCATCTCCCATCACTGACTCTTGCCACGTGTCCTGCCCATCTCCATTTCAGTTGACACGCTAATTTTGTTGCGTCTATGATATTTGTTATTTTTCGTATATCACTGTTTCTATGTCGATGTCTTAGTTTAACGGCGTGGTGGTTTTTTTTTTTTTTTGGATTATTCCTTTGTATTTAACGACTTATTTTCTTGGTTGATTTTTTAGGTTTTTTTTATTTTAAAAACGATTTCACTTTTTATTAAAATTTTAATTATCTTCGCTTTTTTGCCTTTATTTCAACGAACACTTCACAAATTTTCGATACATCGCTCTATAAGTTGTAAACTTAACAAATATTTGGTTGGATGCCTATTATGTTTCACGTGCGTGTTGTCTACTAATCTAGACTAAAAATTCATCAAATTATTTCACGATGAGTCATGATCAATTAATTTTTCAGGATTAATGGACAAAATAGTTTTTTAAACTACCAAAATTAAGCAATATAGGAATTGGTTCCAATTTGTTAGACACAACGTGAAGGTAGCAAGGATTTTATTGTGGCCCGAAGAACTACATTTATCCTCGATTAATAATCAAAATACAATTGCGTTGTCACCCATGAGGACTAAGATGGAACGCCTCGTTTCCGGTAAAAAAGGGTCTCCGGATCTCTAAAAGTTAAACTTTTAATGAAAAATAGAAACTATTTAAAAAAATCATCATACCATCTAATTCCACATCGAGAAGTGAACGGGAAATATACTTATTTTGCGTAAGGAATATATATTTCG